AGAGCCAGGACTGTCTGGCTTTAAATGCCACCAGCATATGGGAGCAACCATTTCACTCTACAGTGTAAACACATCTTTAGATCATTTGTTCAACATTCTCTACAGTCAGCAAAAGTCTGAAATGCACTGACTCCAGTTCAGTTGGGCCTAACCCTTCTTTTTTACATCCCTATGACCACTCTGCAACTGCTAACCTGTACCTCCAATCCCCCAACCGCTCCCACCCAGCCCCCGCCTCCTCACATCGGGCAATCACCAGGCTGCTCTCTGCATCCTTGAATCTGTTTGTTTTGTTTGTTCACTTATGTTGTTTTTTAGACTCCAAATATTTGTATGTTTTTATTGATTTCAGAGAGAGGGAGAGGAAGAGAGAGATAGAAACATCAATGATGAGAGAGAATCATTGATGAGCTGCTTCCTGCATGCCCCCCACTGGGGATCAAGCCCACAACCCAGGCATGTGTCCTGACCGGGAATCGAACCTTGACCTCCTGGTTCCTAGGTCAATGCTCAACCACTGAACCACACCAGCTGGGCTCATTGGTCAGTTTTTAAATCTTTAAATCTGAGAAACACAGAAAAATGAAACAAAGCCAATGAAAGTCACCAGCTACATGTATAAATGTTACCTTTTATTGCATTAAACACAATACATTATTTAAATTTATTTCACCCATTTGTTTTTGTTTCTTTTAATGTGGCTACTAGAAAATCTTAAAATTACATTTGTGGCTCACATTATATTTCCACTGGGTGTTGTTGTTCTAGGTCTCCATGAGGCCATTTCATTTGTGAGGTGTGTGTTTTTTCCTGGCCTATTACTTCTTTGAGAATCCTAGTTAGCCCACAGTCACTGCAGTCTACTAGAACAGTCTTAGAAATGACCAAAACAAATAACTCATACCTCAACTAGAAGGTCCCGTAAAACAGAAATGACCCACATAGCAGGAGTAACAATTAAACAAATGGCCACCTAAACTTCCAGTTTTCTCCCCTTCTCATGACCAAGTCCTGCACTCTGGCCACTCCAGGTCCTACAGGAGTCAGCTGTACCAGGGATGGGCCACAGCCTCCAGCCAGTATCCTTCCTACATGTGACACGCAGAGCATTTTAAGGGCTCACTCTTTAAAATTTCTGAAATACATGGAGAAGTACATTTTTTTTTCTAGTGCGTTGCTAACCTGTAACTGCCAAGCAGAGGTATAAAAATCCAGTTCCAATAGATAAATAATGCTGAGAAGCAAGGGTGTTACTCTTTTTGTCCAATAAACTGTTGAGATTTAGGATCATGGTCTCTCATTTGGTCCCACACTGGATAAATGAGTTTCTTCCACAGTCGTTCTCCAGCTTCTGCTTCCACACATACCTCGGGCTTATTCACCACTGAGAAGCTATCCATTCTAACCTCAGGCCAATGGGTTCTTCTTTTATCTCCTACCACTGATCCTGGATTCTTCTTTCAAAACTAGAGTTGGTTCAATTTCTCTCTCACAAGCAAATCTTTATGTAAAGACAGTGATACCTCTTCAAGCCTTTTCCAGATTAAACATCTTTTTTGTTTGTCATTGATAATTTCTTTTAAAAAGTAGGATTTGGCTTGTATCCTTCTTGGCTACTCTCTTTGTATTGTCAATGACTCCCCTTAAGATATGGTGCCCAGACCCAAATACTATTCATCACATTTGGTCCAAGAAACACATCAGAGAGAAGCAGGGCTTTTACTTCCCCTATTCTGGACATTATAATTCCATATGAACGGCTATATGGTCAAACTCCACCTCACTTTCTTGAGCCCTGATTTCTTCCATCACTATTTAAAAGGTAACAAAAACACGGACTCAAAAAAATATATGCACCCCTATGTTCACTGCAGCATTATTTACAATAGCCAAAATAGGGTAACCACCTACATGTCCATTGATGGATGAATAGATAAAGAAATGTGGTGTAGCCCTGGCCAAGTAGCTCAGTTGATCAGAGCATCATCCCAATATGCCAAGGTTTCAGATTCCATCTCTGGTCAGGGCACATACAAGAAGCAACCAATGAATGCATAAATAAGTAGAATAACAAATCGATGTTTCTCTCTCTCTCTCTCTCTCCTTCCTCACTTTCTCTCTCTCAAATGAATAAACACTTTAGAAAAGAAAGAAAATGTGGAATATTATTCAGCCATAAAAAAGAAATCTTGAGAGAGAAGACCATGTGAGGACACAGCAAGAAGGCAGCATCTACAAACCAAGGAAAGAAGCCTCAGAAGAAACTAACCTGCCAGCACCTTTGTCTCTGATTTCCAGACTCCAGAAATGTGAGAAAATAAATTTCTGACATTTAAGTCACCCCACCTGTAGTACTTTGTTATAGCAGCCCAAACTAATATACCAAATATCACTGATTAAAAAAAAAAGAAATCTTGCCATTTACAACAATATGGATGGACTTAAGAGCATTATGCTATATGGCATAAATCAGAGAAAGACAAATACCATATTATCTTACTGATATGTGGAATCTAGAAAAAAAGAAGCCAATTGAACTCACAGACACAGAGAAGGTACTGGTGGTTGCCAGAATCAGGGTGCAGGGGGCATTAGACAATGAGGGTAGGGTGGGAGAAATGGGTGAAGATGGTAAAAAGAAACAATATAATATTATGCCCTAGCTGGTTTGGCTCAGTGGATAGAGTGTCAGCCTGTGGACTGAAGGGTCCCGGGTTTGATTCTGGTCAAGGGCACATGCCTGGGTTTCAGGCTCAATCCCCAGTAGGGGGCATGCAGGAGGCAACCAATCAATGATTCTCCCTCATCATTGATGTTTCTATCTCTCTCCCCTTCTCTTTTCCTTTCTGAAATCTATCTATCTATCTATCTATCTATCTATCTATCTATCTATCTATCTATCTATTATCTATCTATCTATCTATCTATCTATCTATCTATCTATCATCTATCTGAAATAAAAAAGACATTAGAAAAAGGAAGAAACAATACAGTATTATTACTTAGAGTCACCATACTGTACCTTACATCCCCAGGACTTATTCATTTTCAAACTGGAAATAAATAAGTCCTGGGGATGTGAGGTACAGCACGGTGACTCTAGAAAATAATACTATATTGAATATTTAAAACCTGCTAAAATAATAATTCTTGAACGTTCTTATTTCAAGGCCCAACCGGTATGGCTCAGTGGTTGAGTGTCACCTATGCACCAGGAGGTCATGGCTCGATTCCAGGTCAGGGTACATGCCTGGGTTGCAGGCTTGATCCCCAATAGGGGGTATAGAGGATGCAGTTGATCAATGATTCTCTCTCATCATTGATGTTTCTATCTCTCCCTCTCCCTTCCTTTCTGAAATCAATAAGTTCTTACCACAAGAAAAAAATTCTATCCTGTGTGGTGATGGATGTTAACTAGGCTTATCGTGGTGATCATTTGTGATATGTACAAATATTGAATCATTATGTTGTACACCTGAAACTTATATAATGTTATGTCAATTATGTATCAACTAGGAGCCCAGTGCATGATTCAAAATTGCGCGGCGCCGCCCACCCTCAAGTGGCGGGTCAGGCCCTGCTTCCCTCTCCGGCCCTTGAAGCAGCCAAGGCTGCTGCTGATCAGGCCCTCCCCCAGCACAGGTGCGAGGAGGCCCCTGCCACCCTACCCCCAACGCTGTGTGCGAAACCTCCTCCTGTCATGTCGACCAGTTATGGCATCCCAGCTAATTAGAATATTTCTCTATTATATATATATATATATATATAGAGAGAGAGAGAGAGAGAGAGAGAGAGAGAGAGAGAGAGAGGAGAGAGAAAGAAAGAAAGAAAGAAAGAAAGAAAGAAAGAAAGAAAGAAAGAAAGAAAGAACATTGTTTTCCAGTGGTTGGGGGTAAATAAAAAGCTTTGTAAGTCTATGAAGCTTTGCATACTAATATCTAAAACTAATGGCTATAATGAACAGTTAATAGCCTGGCTATTCCTGAGAATATCCTGGAGACTGAACACATAAAGAGGCTAATCCGCTCAGGAAGTCAGGCCCTCTGGGAAATGGGCCTGGCCTTGCATAGCTTTAAAAGCTCCAAGTGATTATAGCATGCGTCCAGGGTGGAACCACTCATCTCAAGAAACCATGAGCCTGATCCTCATATTGATTCAAGTGACTTTTCCCTTGACCCTTGACTCCGAATTTTTTATTTTGAATTGAACTGGCAGAATTGAATCGGTTCACTGTAAACAACTTGAGATCACTGGCGTTATTTGGAACTTGGGTCACAGGGAAAGAGGAGTTAATTTAGTAACAGCTGGGACCTAATTGAAAATCAAGTTAAAAAGAACATCAGGCTTAGGAGACCTGGTGTATAATTGGCAAGGTCACGTACTAGCTGGGTAATGAGCACATCACGTAACCACACGAAAGTTTCTTTGTCTATAAAATGAAGGCACTGGTCTAGAAATCTTTAAGGTGCTCTAAATTCTGGCACAGTTTCAGGACAGAACTTGCAAATGAAACATTTAAAGTTGTACCCTGCTCTATTTTGAAAGGCTGTGAATTTAGCCATAGGAGCTTCAACAAGGCCAAAAATATGATTAAAATGTTCAAATTGTCATTCAAATTTAATTTATAATATCTATTCCTGATTATAAGCGCATCACACTTAAAGGAGAACTAGGTTTAATCACATCTGCATAGCCAGTGTTCCCTCAGTCCCCTGCCCTGTGTCAAGGCTGCAGCACATGTTCGAAGTGGGTCTCTGGGCCCAGAAAGGAGCCTGGGATATCAGCAAAATCAAGCCAGACGGTAGAGCTCTGCCACTGCCCTGCTAGCCACTATGCCTTGTTTCCTCGTTTGTAGAATGTCGATAAGACATTTTAAGTTAACATTTGAAACTGGAAAGACCTTTGAAACATTTTTTTTTTTTACTATATTTTAAGCACTTTAGTCAATATTGACCATGCAATGTGAATTCATGAAAGCAAAAGTTAAGAGACGTACTTACCAGGAATCCTATTGAGGGTCACCCAGAAATGTTCATCAGGACTGTAGGTGTCCTTGGACCAGGACAGTAGGTCAAGTGCATGCTGGTCTTGGAGGACGAAGTTAGCGAATTCCCTTGTGAGGGCCACATAGGCAGTGCCAAAGTAAATGGTCATGTTGTGAGGAGGGGAAGTTTTCAATTTTTCTGTTTTATGCACATAGGAATTTTTTGTGTCTAATATTTCTCGGTGGACATACTTAGTCCGTCCAATAGCATGATCAGGAGGCAGCACCCCCGGGGTAATGTTTTTCCCTTTGAAGCCTTTCAGATACTGAACTATTTCCTTGTTGGTTTTCAGGGGGAAGTCTTGCCCACAGGTGTTGATGGCGTACTTCCACGGGACCTCGGAGGCCACCAGGTCTCTCAGGCAGTTCAGGTCCGCCTGGAGCCTGGAGATCCCACCATAGACAACCGGCTCCATCTTGGAAGCCAGAAAGGCGTTTGGGAAGCAGCTCAGCAGTTGCTCCACCGCATCTTTAAATTCAGCTGTTGCCTTTTCGTCCACATGGACGCAGTAGACATTTTGGGGCATGTAAATAGCTCTGAAGAGTCTCTCGAAAGTAGCAAATTCTTTGTGGATGGTCATTGAGTAAGCCAAAGGGAACCCAGCCTCTTCCTCCGAGAGCGTTTCTGTTATATAGTGACTCTGAACCATGTATTCATAACAGGCAGATCCACTGAGGGTAGTTTTCAACGCATTCTCTGTTAAGTGAAAAACCTTCTCCTTAAGAATCTGATGACAGGTTTCTGCTAAGAGCGAAGCATTGGTAAGAGACGCCCTCAGAAGACGTTTCTTCTCCCAGAGCTTGTTATTGTAAACAAATACGAAAATCAGGGCCGTGACGAGAGACACACTAAAAAGACAGTGCTTCCAAGAGCCCATTATTCAAAACCAGGAAATGAGTAAAATGTCTCTTGAGAGCTGACGAGAGTGGAGATAAATATTTAACTTACATTTTCTCCAGAATCCATTGTCATCCTTTCGGTACATGCAGTTCTGATGGGCTGTTTCATGCCCTTCCAGTGGATCGTTCTCGTACTTTTTCTTTCTTCCATTTACAGCTGTGTTTCATTTCCACCTTTCTTTGACGCATTTCTGAAGTAATTCCTTTGGATTTGCTTTGCTCAGTCTCCCACTAATCAGCAACCCGTTCCTACACAAAAATAAGTTGCTTCAGGAAGGTTGTGATTCCAGTGTGCCCACCTGTCCCCATAATAAAATCACTAAAGGGCGAGGGGCCACCCTGCGAGTCATTGCCACAAGACCTCAAACCCGGCCTCTTCTCGTGGCCAAAGGTTGTCAACTGTGTCAGCTCCCCAGCTTCCTGTTAATCATTGCGCTCAACTGACTGAGCTTGTTTGCTTAAACGGCACTGCCAAGTTAAAAGCGTCAGTTCTAAGCATGTGAACACCGCCTGGAGAGATATTCTGTCAATAAATATTTAGTGCTTAAAAATAAAATATTTAACTCTGTCTTTTTCCACACGCACCCCCCATCTCCATATTGGCTGGGCACGCTATAAAGCAAGGCATATGACTGACTATTGAGTCAAATCCTTTCCAGGACTTAATTTTCTCTGCTGTTAGATAAGGCCTTTTACAACACACATTAGCAAGCTTACCTCACCACCTAATTTACTCCACAAAGTGACTGGGGTACTCTGAATAACAGCTTTTTTTTTTTTTTAAGCCAAAAAAATAAAGAGCTCGTCATCATCCAAAAATTATGTAGAGGCTAAAGCTGGACGTCAAGTTTATTTCACCCAAGCCCAGAGGGGATACAGGGGAAGCAGCCTGATGCCTGCAGAGGTAGGAGACAGGAGCCCTCTCAGTTGGGGACCATCCAAAATTGAAGAAGAGAAGGTCCTTAGATTCAGATTTATAAACCCTTTCAAAGGAGTTTCCTTAGCTGAAAAAAAATGAGGCTATGTAATTTTACCACCTTCATAGGTCAGTTGTGAGAATAAAAATGAGATCGCATATAGAAAGAGCTCATAGCCATGCCCAGCAATAAATGGGACAACCAGAGAAGAGGAAACAAGAGACTCTCTTCACACCACAAGTCGAGAAAATGACACAATCAGCACCTCTCGGAAATCTTCTCGCTCCTCCCTTACTTCTTCCTCTGTGAGCCCATGCCAATGAGATCATACATCTAGAATAGCATCGACTAGTTCTGTTTTACTTGGTAGTTAGCTGCAAAGGGGCGTGACTGCACCCTGTGCATGCCTAAAGAAAGGGCGCATTAGCTCTGAGCTCACTATTCCTCCTCTGTGTCTCGCTCCCACAATTGACTTCACATACTAGACAATCAAATATTTATTGATCAAGTGCTCAAGTTTTCATTTCCCTGTTTCCCTGAGCACATTAGTGTGAGATTCCAAGTACTAACAATTTACAACCTACATTTATATCTGAGTGTAAGTGCATTCAACTACCTATTTTCCCCAATATATCTTAATTATAAAGACAACATAATATTACAGAGAGTTTATAAACACAGTGTTTTCATGGCCTGTACTCTCATTTACCTCCTGCCCAGACACATACATATTTTTATTTTACCAAGAAGTCAGGGGACATGCAAGTTTGCATCACACATTTTGCAATTCATATCATAGCACAACTTTTCCATAATGTTACTCAGTCTTCATTGGGCATTGTCTTCACAATCATTACTTTAGAAAATAAGGCTGAAGTTATTATTTGTTGTTTTACCCCACACCCATTAAAAAGATGGTTGCCAACTATGTTTTGTAAGCATCAGTGTTAGATAAAACAAGGGTCTCAAGGTCTGGGCATCTCTAAATGTTCTTCCTTGCTACATGTTAAAACATAGCACAGTATTTTGCACCTGACAGGAACTCAAAAAATAAAAGTAGCCAACTGTATGGGGGGATAAGGACACATATGTAATACCTTAATCAATAAAGGAAAAAAAATTTTTTTAAAGTGGCTACTCAAAAATGTAAAAAAAAAAAAAAAAGAATGTGCATAAAGCTGGTCTAATAGCTTTACTTATAAAAATATATTCTAAAGAAATAAAAAGACAAATTTAAAAAAAGTAGCCAAACTGCAAAGAAGAAATCAACAGGTAATTGACCAAATAGTGTGTATAAGCAATGGCTAAGTCTTCCTTTGAGGAGGCAGAGCTTTGGATATGAATCCCATCTCCTTTATTGCTATAAGTAAATAAAACTATCTTGTGATAGCCACCTCTTGTTTTTTAATAGAACACCCTAAACCTGTGATGGCGAACCTTTTGAGCTCGGCGTGTCAGCATTTTGAAAAACCCTAACTTAACTCTGGTGCCGTGTCACATATAGAAATTTTTTGATATTTGCAACCATAGTAAAACAAAGGCTTATATTTTTGATATTATTTTATATATTTAAATGCCATTTAACAAAGAAAAATCAACCAAAAAAATGAGTTCTCGCGTCACCTCTGACACGCGTGTCATAGGTTCGCCATCACTGCCCTAAACCTTAAACCCCTTGAGTTCAGTAACATCAGGAGCAGAGGAAATGATGATAAGAAAGGACCCAGGGGAGTCCTCCCAAACTAGGTGAGTCAGTCTTCAGTTGTTTTAGGAAATATAATCCACATCCTGATTCAGGCACATAGTTTTGTCTATATGACCCAAAGTGTAATCCAATCAACCCAAACACTTTATTTACATTGCTATCTTTTATGTATCAATGTATAATTCTTTTGAACAAATTATTTCTTCAATACTGCAGTCATATAAGGACAATCTTTTCAGAAATGACGACTATTAAAATACTAATTTGAAAAGATATATGCAGCTTAAGTGTCCATTAATAGACAACTGGTTAAAAAAGAAGTGGTACATATATACAATGGAATATTACTCGGCCATAAAAAAGAAAGAAATCTTACCGTTTTCAACAACATGGAGGGACCTAGAGGGTATCCTGCTAAGTGAAATAAGTCAGACAGAGAAAGACAAGTACCATGTGATTTCAATTATATGTGGAATCTAAAAAAAAACCACAAAAAACCCAAAATAAACAAACAAACAAAACAGATAACTTCATAGATATCTAGAAAAAAATGATGGTTTCCAGATTGGGGGTGGTGAAGGGGTTGGGGAAATTGGCTGAAAAAGGTGAGGGGATTAACAAATTGGCAGTTACAAAATAGTCATGGGGATGTAGGGAATATAGTCAATAATATTATAATAACTATATACGGTGCCTCGTGGGGACTGGACTTTTCAGGGGGATTACCTCATAAGTTATATAAATGTCAAACTACTGTGCTGTACACCTGAAACTAACATAGTATGGAATGTCAATGGTAATTGAAAAGTTTTTTAGTTTTTAAAAAAGAAATGATTACTAAAATTTCTCTAATTTTTATTTTATTTTTAATATCCCTTGAGGTATTCACTGCCCATGTCAAATGAAATTTACTAGGGATGATTAAATAAAGGTGTCAATACCTGATTATATTGTCTACATTGGTCAAATGATTTTTACACCTCTTTTCTCTTAACATAGCCACAATTTTCAGCAGCTCTTTCTTTCTTTTTGCTATTGCCTGATTCTTGGCACAATTTTGTTAGAATAAGTGGATAGAAAGATCTAAGCTGGAAGAGGCTGCGAGAGGTCGCTGGGGCTCAGAGGAAATGGAGTGAGATGTGACAAACTGAAAATAGACCATGGAGGTGGTAGGCGCCTATGTGAACAGGAAAGATTCAGAGCGCTCCAGGATGTGGTCTAACTGGTGGCCTAGCACCTAGATGAAGAAGCGTTATATGCATTTTTTTGAGACATGAGGGAGGGAGTGACTAGCTCCTTACCTAGGGGTGTTCCAGCCTAGAGGTATAAATCCTCTAAATTCCCAAATATCAGAGCACTGGGTTCAGTCTCAGCCAGCTTAGCTGCCTGCTCAGGTCCTATCTGACTGTATTACTTTCCTACAAATAAATCTTTGCCTGCTTTTGCTGCCATTTCTAGTCTCTTGTTTGAATTCATTCTTACAAGCAAGACAAGAACTGGGTGTGCAGTTATCTGGGTTACCTCCGGCCAGAGACCTCCTTGTCCACCACTTACAGTTTCAACCCTTCACACATTTCATGCATAAAAACATCTATCTATACTAATAAAAGGGTAATATGCTAATTAGACCAGACATCTTCTGGACATCCTTCCGGACATCCTTCCGGAAAAAGCCACAGTGGCAGGGGTCGAGGCAGAGGCAGTTAGGGGCAACCAGGCTGGCAGGGGAAGGCAGTTAGGGGTGACCAGGAAGGCAGATAGGTGAGCAGTTAGGAGCCAGCGGTCCCAGATTAAGAGAGGAATCCCGGAATGGAGAGGGTGCAGACTGGGCTGAGGGACCCCCTGCCCCTGTGCACGAATTTCATGCACCGGGCCTCTAGTATATATATAAAAGGCTAATATGCTAAGTATCCGACCATCTGGGTAATGACATCACATAGCAACTCCCGGCTTCCTCTCCCTAGTGACTAACCTCCTAGCAGTTTCTTCAGCCCAGGAACACGACTTGCTTTATAGCCAGGTGGAAACATTTACACTTTAACCAAATGTCTGTGAAGCATGTTCATGTGCTTCATCTCATTTGATCCTCTCAGAAGTCCTGGAGTAGGTAGATAGGAGACTTGGTGGAATCCCATTTTCTTTTCATTAGCTGGAAAATGGAGATTTAGGAAGTTTAGAAAATTGACCCAACTGAAAAGAAGTAAGAAATGGTGGACCTTGAAAATGACTCCAGGTTTTCTCACTGCGCAGAATATAGTCAAACACTGCTGCAGTTAAATATTTTACCCTTTGTTCTCCCTGCGTGATCTACAATAATAATCTGCTTCATGTTGATATGTACTGCTGTGTTGCTGACAATTACCTGAAAGAAAGTTGGGGTGCTTCACTGGGCTGGAAAAAGTCTAGCTAAATCAGAAAGCAGGTCTAATTAAGCAAGTTTATTCTATATCTATAAAAGGCTAAGTTTACTCGTGCATACACAATACATATAAAGCTCTCGCTGGCGCCAATCGCATGCATGTGTTTTGATCTGTCATGGTCAATCATGAATTTAGTTGACACTTCTATTATAGAGAAAGGGCAAATAGTGATATTAAAATATTTCTTCTAATTAATTTCCTTTCAGTGTGCATGAATTTGTGCACCAGGCCACTAGTCTCTAATAATTTGCCTGCTCTTCTCTGAATTTACAGGTCTCTGAATTTAGTTACAGGGTGAAGAATGTTTGAAATACAATGTTCCAGTACTTCACTACAGTGGAGTTAACTGTACCTCATCTGAAATGCCATGAGGGCCCTTTGATTTTGAATTCTAGAAACATTCACAATTATTCAAAATCATATCTTTGACAATGTTAGACATTTATAAAAGAATTAGTATCAAACATTTTTCCTCCATCAACCTA